CTGCTTTTGGAAGGATGAGGCACATCTGGAAATCCAACAATTACTGCAGAGGAACAAAACTCCGACTCTACAAGAGCATCATTTTGTCAGTTCTTCTTTATGGAGCGGAATGCTGGAGAATGACCAAAAAGGATGCACACAAGCTGTCCACATTCCACCACACATGTCTACGTAGAATTATCAAAATTTTCCGGCCAGAGACAATCTCAAACACTAAACTACTTCAAGCCACAAACCAAGAAACTTTAGACAGTATGATTACCAAGAGAAGATGGAAATGGCTTGGCCACGTTATGAGAATGACTTCTGATATACCTGCCAAAACAGCTCTCACATGGACACCAGAGGGAAAGAGAATACAGGGGCGCCCAAAAACAACATGCAGACGAACGATGGAAAGTGACCTGAGTGCGGCATCTTTGACATGGAAAACTGCACTGAAGATTGCACAGGACAGGAAAGCATGGAAAGTCCTCTCTGAAGCCTCATGTGCTATTATGCATAGCGAGAACTGATGATGATGATTAACACTTGTCAGGATGTAATATCCATCTGTATTACCGCTAATACCCATGTCCAATTGAGACATTATGTCCGGTCTACTGTCATACACTTCTGATAGAGTAACAGAAAATGTTTATGGGAAATACCTATAGAAGTGACATATACACACCGCCACCTACCAAATACCTTTCTTGAATGTGTATTCTAGACAAAGCATTAAGGTATGTCTATTAAGTTCTTAAATTGTTGCTGTGCTTATTATTCGACATATGCTTCGTTAGTATAAATTTATGTAACCTATGGTGCCATTTCAATGGTTTGAAATGAATTCTGTCCGTATTGCGTAGTCGTGAATTTCAAGCTGTAATATAGACATGGCCAACAAGACATCTTTCTTTAGGGGTGCCTAATTGACCATGTTCTTAGTGCGCTTGTTTCCATAGCGAGGCGCACATGCCGTCTGGAGATGACAGGTTCGATTCCCGGCATGGTAACTATAGCTTTCGATTTTTATGTTTACTAGTGTGTTCTTCTATCTTTCTACTTGTTTCTATGAGTACCGATCAATACATTTTCTGTTACTTTATTAATATATAATATTTCACGGCCTCTAGAGTTCCCCCTCTGTTTATTTATGAGTTTTAATAGATGTGCTACTCTATGCCAGACTGTCTATGCTTTTTTTTAAATCCTGAAGAACCCACTAGGTCATGGGTGATCTAACCCAAAAACTCGCTTCAGAGACACTCATAGTTTATTAGCAGTGACAGATTCTATCCATAAGGACCCAGTATGACATGCTAGGAACATAAGAACAGTAACTCTTAACGTTTTTTGAACAAATCAATTCCATTTAAGTCCCTTTCGAAGACAGAACTTTTTTTTCTCTATCAGGAACATGGTCTGGGTTTTCCAGGGCTATGCCAGATTGTACATGTACTCTCTTAGTATCCATCTGCCTCTCTCCCACATACTTTTTCGCTTTCCGTGATTTGTTGTTATTTTTCTTTTCTTTTCATGGGGATTGATGAACTGATTTTGCATACCTTTTAAACCTTTTCTTTTTCAACCATGTTTTATTTAAGTAGCAGTTATACTTTTTTTCTTTTAATCTACGACTTTGCAGAATCAACATAGAACTGAGAGTTTACTGTGAGCCATATTTCTTTGGATATGACTGCAGCGAGAATTGCCAAGCCAGGGACGATGACAGTGGTCATTTTATATGCAACCCACTGACCGGAGATAAGATCTGCCTATTTGGTCAGTAGTGACACTTTTTCTGTGTTGGTCATTGATACTACAATAATACCTTTAGTATAAGCCACGATGGCATAGCGGTTTGTGTGTTCGCCTGCTGAGACACTAGCTAGATTCTTTACCCATAATTCAATTGTGGGTTCTCGGGCACCATTGTGGGGGATAGATTCACTGCCCCCTAACAAGCATATCGTAAGCAATACTAGAGGGGAATATTAGGAATTATGGCGTCACCAGCCTGTCGCAACCTGCCGCTGCCTGTAGCCGCCCGGTGCTTGCTTGCAATTGCCTAATGCATCTTGTATATTTTTAAAATTTGAAATTTTGGGGACAAATGCACAAAAACACACACAGGGAGTTGTGGAGTCAAGTCGCTGTGCTGGGGTGTCAGGTGAGGGGATTTAGGGAGTTATCAAGGAGCCTGTGGTTTTAGCGTTAGCTATGCTGCGATATGTGGGCGGTCTGACAAATGGATGGCCAAGCATGTCGTGGGTGTATTATTAATGTTCAGTCAATCAGGTGCCGTCTCTACAGTGAAGTTTAGCTGCAATGGATCTCAAACACGCCTTGTCTCCGGTTTGGTTGTACACTCTCTCAGACTGCTGCCCGTCTATCTCTTGATGTTGTCATCGCACTTGTATCGTTGTCCACCTTTTTTCCTTCGACCTTTCCCTCCAGTATAGTTTTTAAAAGCGTGTTATGTCTTTTAACGTGGGCAAAGTATTTCAGTTGTCACTTTCTTATTTCTTTCAGTAATTCTTTTTTCATTTGTAATTTTTTCAGATCTTCTGTATAGGACTGTTTTGTTTCCATGAAATGTGACATAATCTTCTGTATCCCCACGTTTCCAGAGACAATTCGAATTTCTATTTGCTTGTTCATTGTCCAAGTTTCTGCACCATTTAACAGGATGGGATATACATAACATTTAAAGATTATAATTTTTAGTGTATTGTTCATCTCTCTAACTGTCAGTACTTTGCTCATCTTATTGAAGACAGTTTTAGCCATTCATATTCTCTTTCTGATTTGTGTTTCTCTTTATCTATCATCTGTTTCTACGTGTCCTAGATAGGAGAACTTGCTACTTGTTCTAATAGCTCTCTCCTCAAGAGGCCATGACCTTGTATTGGCGGGGGAGCTTGAGAGCCTCAGTGACCCAGTAAGCTATGCCTGCGGGAACGTATGTTCCTGGCAGGGTCACCCAAGCCGGACAGGTCACTGGTGAGGTGCCAGACTAAAGATAGCCTCCCCGTCCTCCAGGCTCAGGGGTTGGGCGCAACGTTGACAGCTCTACCCTGTGGGGGGGAAAAATACAACTTCACTAAACTTCAAGAGGAAATAACAAAACGCCACCACAATTCACACAGTCTGACAATTGAATAATGAAACGGATATTATTACGAACAAAACACAAATGCTGCTAACAAAGCGAAGCATGTAATCCAAAAAGCTGCATTCATCTATGATTCGGCAAAATTGTCATGTCGTCCTCCGAGCAGATGAAAAATTTTGTTAGTGAAAGTTGCGACGTTACGTTTGTAGCATGAAGCCAGGAGGGAGCTTTATTTCTGTTTCAAACACAGAGCAGTGCTATTGAGACAGCTGGATTTGTGGATCGAAAAATTGTGAAGAATAATATTTATCAAATTTAACAACATGGTCATCTGCCTTCATTCTTATATTCAGACATGGGTCTTCCCGTATCCGTTCTCTGACTTTGGCAATGAGTTCGTGAATACGAACAGAAACTGGACCTTCCGGCCTAGCCCCATCTTCAGTCTTCTCCACAATAGCTTTGAATCGTGAATACGTCCTTATTCGTCACACACACACACACACACACACAAAACCACAAACACACATTTTCTCTGCTTCCTTGCTCATCCTTATTTAGTGGTTACTTTTCTCTTTCGTTGGTGTACCCCAGAATAACAGTTTCTATCTGAAATGTAAATACTCCATCGCCGGGGCATCTCGTTAACGCAAAAGTGAAAACTACCGGCCTGATTTTAAAAAAAAACCACTCTCTTAGCTAGAATGTAGACTGATTTATTCACATTGAGGCGTGGAGGACAAAAATGATTTGTTAAGACTTTTCCCTTCATTACATTGTTTTGGATAGTTTTTACTTTTTACTTTAAAAAAAATGTTGATGTATTTTTTCTCAACCACGTTTAAAGTGCAACAATGTATCCCTTACGGACTCTTTCCACCAGGGCTTTATGCGTTTTAAAATGTTCAATTCAAACAGTAAGGTAATTTGTACCTCTATTGTCTCAATTTTGTGTCACCTTATACATAAATACCCCTGATATCGTTCTTCAAATGTTTCTGATACGATCTGAACTATACTCTGTAATGTGACCACCAGGTTGGATAGGACCAGACTGTACGACTAACTTTGATGATTGCAATGGGAACAGATGCCATGATGGAGCGAACTGCATTGATCAGATTGGTTACTATACTTGTAAATGTCCACCCGGGAGAACAGGTTTGTTGAAATATCATGTCTGATACAGTTACAATTTCTGACACATCTTTGACAACTTAACAGTTTGATACAATAATTTATGAACAAAGGTCCAATAGTAACAGGGCTAAATTTAATTCAGTCAAGGAAGATTGGCTAATAAACAGCATCCTTTCTCGAAAGCTGAATATTGTGGTCATATCAAGCGCCACGACGTATTGGAAAAACTATAGCAGAAGGCATGGTACCAGGAAGGAGGGGCAAGGGCCGACCGACACGAAGATGGGCACAGGATATAATTGACTCCTTGAGTGTGAAAGTGCATGAGGCGGGAGAACTGGCGAGAGATCGAGTTTCTTTCAGGCAGACTGTGATGAGAGCGACGTTCTGCAAAGGACCTGCTACATGATGATGATGAGATTTAATCAGAAGACAAGAAAAATGATGTGGTCATTTAACTCGACTGCCAGCAGACAGTATACCACAACAAGGAGTGATGACACAGATGGATTCAAGGAAGAGGTGATCGTGTAAACGATGAACAGGGAGAATACTAGCACTCTGGGAACCATCATATATGAAGCACACAAATGGACACTCTCTTGCCATTGATATTTAATCTCGACACTGCAAGCTTCAAATTAGTCAAGATGAGATGAATCCAAAACTGCAAAATACTGTTAGCCTGTTGAGAATTACTAATACCCGAGACTTGGAGCAGTCCTAGGTGATGCTTGTCAGTCATCGTTTTATATGATATTATGATGAGGCTGTACTATTTATTTGTAGCCCGGATATTTGAGCTTACCAGACACATCTTTTTCTTTCTACCTCTAATTTTGTTATAGCACTTTCTCCACACAAGCCTAATTTCTCTAGGGGCCCCGCGCCACTCTGGGGCAAACTGAAAACACGAAAGGTTAGACGGGATACAGGTCCTTCTGGAGTACACTATCAACCCAGAAGAGAGAACATCCTCATGGTATAGAAAGAATGAGGCAAATGGAAATGGCCAGAGAAACTAGAAGGCATTCAATGCTGTGAGGAAAGGCAAGGCGAACATATAATCAGACTACAGTTGACTACGTTAGAATCTGAACTCTCCACTCCGTTCTGGGGAGCTGCCGTGGTTTATGCGCTGGCCTGCGGATCGGAAGGTCGTGAATCTGTTTCCTGACAGGGTTGGGACATTTTTTTATAATGACCTTTGCTGCCAGGTCGACCCAACATGAATGGGTACCAGCTACAGTCCTTGGAAGTAAAGGCGACCGGTGTGATGCTGACCAAATCACCCATAAAGTGCCGTTTGGTCTATAAAATATAGGCCTAGCCCTATAAACAAAATACGCTGAGGGTGTGGTAGTGATCCTGTTTACCTCCTTACTCCGTTCTGGAGATAGAAAGAGCGTGTTTGTAAGAACGCACCATGTGCTTTGGATGTTGGTATGGTATTCAACTCTTAGCCTAAACGTTTCGATCTCTCCCATTGATAAGTCTCATAACCCCCCCCCCCCCCCCCCCCCCCTTTTTCAAAAAAAAAAACTTTTAGGGTTTTAATGAATTTATTAGCTACACATCTCAGTATCTCAGCACTTGAGTTCAACTAAGAGCAGGCCACACTCAAGCTGTGTGTGTGTGTGTGTGGGGAAAAAGGGGGGGGGGGCATCTTTAGAAAGGTCGTCAAATGAAAGGAAAGCCACTGTAACCAGCGACCATGTGAACTGGAGTATTATTCATAATGCAAATAATAATAAAATTTAATGAAATTAGGAATAATAATAAAAACAAACAAAGAGTATTTTCGCTAGATAACAATCGCAACAAGGAACCCAAATAATTATTTCCGACATTAATTACAGATTGTGTTAGCTCATGTGCCCGGTATAAACCCACCTGCTAATTTCGTTATTTATACATATATTGTCAGCATTTATGAACTGCAATACTGTCATGTCTTCGCCAATTTGCCAACTTAGGCTTGCACCACTGTTTTCTTCATTGTGCCAAACTGTTGACTGCTGTTAATTATTATCTGAAAGTGCACAGTTTTCACAACTCTTTGTGACTACATGACTAACAGCATCATGTTTCCTGACAGGTGTGTACTGCGATGGGGAGATCAATGAATGTGCCAGCAGTCCGTGCCAGAACAATGGGATGTGTAAGGATCATCTGAATGGTTTCACCTGTGAGTGTCTCACAGACTGGACTGGGGTGTTCTGTGAGATTCAACACATCGAATGTACCTCTGATTTGTGTGTTCATGTACGTAAACTAGAATTATAATTACAATTCTATCTTAGACACTTCGTAAAGCCTTTCTTCCTCCACTTCTTCCTCTTCCTCCAACTGTTCTCTTTTTTTAGCATTATCACCAGAATCATCACCGTGTTTCTTCTTCTTCTTCTTCTTCTTCTTCTTCTTCTTCTTCTTCTTCTTCTTCTTCTTCTTCTTCTTTTTCTTCTTCTTCTTCTTCTTCTTCTTCTTCTTTTTCTTCTTCTTCTTCTTCTTCTTCTTCTTCTTCTTCTTCTTCTTCTTCTTCTTCTTCTTCTTCTTCTTCTTCTTCTTCTTCTTCTTCTTCTTCTCCTCCTCCTCCTCCTTCTTCTTCTTCTTCTTCTTCTTCTTCTGCTACTGCTTCTTTTGACAATTATACTGCATGTGTGTTTCTCTAAATGTCCTTAAATAAATGACGGTACTCTACGGATTTACTTCGTAAATTTTAAACCACTGTGAAATGCTTGTAGACTGAATCATACACAAATAATTTCTCTTAAGAATAAATTCCCAAATCACGTTGAACTAGTTGTTATATCAGTTAGCCACCTCTCTATGCCTGTGGAACAAACCACCTAACGAATGCCAACTGTCCTAAACAAAAAATATATACAGTGCTAGCCTTACACCAAAACCCAACCACAAATACTAAACTACAGGGTGCTTCCAAATATCTCCACCCAGTATGACGTCACATGATAGTCCAATCTTTTAAAGGGTTGTAAGAGCAGGTTTCCTTGCTCTATGATGCCTTTAACTACATGAAAACATCTACAACTGGGCCTAACCCCAACCCACCTAAGTCACACGAGAGAGTGCAGCGTAGGTACCTACCACTCCCTAAAATATTTGGCTGTCTGTTTGAGGGTGGGAAGAGGGGGAGGGGGAACATTGGGATAGAACCAACTACAGGAAACTTATTAACCGTTTTCTGGAACTCCAATATAATGCTGCTATATGGCTATAAGGTTGAAAGGGGCTTCCGGGATTTGTAGTTGTTTGATTCGCATTATGGGGATGTTAATTCTACAGTAAATTAATCTGGACTGGCAAAACTTAAATATATAAGTTAGTTGCGTATCCTTTACATGGCGTTGAAAAACCAAACCCTGCATTTTTTGGCTGTTGTGCTTTTTCTAGACAAATTTACGTCCAATAGTTTGCCATTGCTTTCTGGACGGTCCTTTACGCAATATTGCCGAAATTTTGGTCTGAGGAGAATGGCGCTTCGAGGAGTTACCAGGGGATCTGGCTGACGCTCAACACACAAGTAAATGGCGAGACGGAGTTACAGTCAGTCAGTTACTGGTACTATCGGAACTGGAACTCTGCTGAAGATATGGGCGAAGCTCTTATGGGAGTGTCACGGATGTTGTGATGTCGATTGTGAATTGAACATTTAGCTAAGCAATTTTACGTACAAAAGTTTGCCATTGCCACTAAACGGTGGGCGCTCAATAACCCTGTCGAAATCCACGAAAGGTGATCTGCTGTCAAATTGTTAGCAGCTGGAATCGAACCGGGTACCTCGTAATAACAAGGTGCATTCACAACACCTAAGACACAAACCTTTCTTTTTTAGCACTATAATACAATCCATAAGTGACTTTACGTAAGGCTATGGTTATAATCAATTTGCTGTTTTTTAATGTAGGGTTTCTGTACTGCAAAAGATGGCCAGGATGTGTGCTACTGTAAAGATGGCTATCACGGGGAACTGTGCGACCAGGCTGTGACAAGCTGTGCTGATAAACCTTGTCTCCATATGGCACTGTGTGAGGATCTTCCTGCCGGCTATAGGTGTACTTGTTTGGCAGGCTACAGTGGTAAGACATGTAGTGATAAAGCATCATACACCGGGTGTCCCATACATGACCATGCATATGAATAATACACATATTTACCCCCCCCCCCCCCCCCCCCCCAAAAAAACGACATTACAAGAAAAATAACTCCAGCTGTCCATATATGAATTCTTCAGTTGTAGAGTTATGAATAAGCACTTGGGGTCAATCTTCTTGTAATGATGTTGGTTTGTTGGTTTATAGTATTGGACACCCAGTAGTTACACAGCGCAGGTCGGCCGTCAGTGTTATTTTACTGTTCACCAATTATGTTGTAACCGTCTTAAGGAGTCGTGGTAGAACTTTTGGCTCATAGACTTTGAGGCCCCTTCCACATACCCTTTCCCCTCCCCCTCCCCCCCCCCCCCAAAAAAAAGAAAACAACTTTAATAGGTGTTGGATCAGGCCCTTTACAAAGACTGGGTCGGGGTGGGGGTGGTGGGATCGGCAACCGGGGCACACATTGGCTAGCCGGTAGACGACTTCGGTGTTGGTCTCTGGAGATCGTATCAACAATGCAGGAGTCCTTTTCAGGGCTACTTGGCCGTGTACAATGCTAACCCATTTTTAAATAGCGAACAAAACCATAGCAATAACTATAACTTACCCGCCCCCCCCCCACCCCTGTTCTTTAGGGGTTATCGGTTGAAAGTAACTACTTCGCCCTCTCCCGCAAATTAGCTAGTCAGATAATAGGGTGGGGGTTGGGCGAGGCCCATTCTCTTAGAAAATTTGCAAGGGTGCTGTGGGTGCCATAACTCTGTGTGTGTGTGTGTGTGTGTGTGTGTGTGTGTGTGTGCATATATATATATATATATATATATATATATATATATATATATATATATATATATATATATATATTAAAGTATATGTTTATGTATGTCCTACTATTAAACATATATTATTTTATTTATTTGCCATTTAGCAATAATACTAATAATACAACAGATTGTAAGTCTTACATTCAGGCATACCAAACAATGATCCCAGACTAAGAAATTGTATTTTACTTATAATGCAGGTTAGGTATGATTTGTGCACGTAATATTATTGTTATTGTAGACAATCGATTTCTCTTTGATTTTCAGGTAAAAACTGCGACACTAGGATTAGTCTCTGCGATAGGGATCCGTGTCAGAACAACGGTAGATGCTTGGATCTTGTGGATTCATATGTGTGCTCGTGTCCGGAAGGATTCTTTGGTTAGAATGCTTTTGTTTATAAAATGTATCTGAGCATTATTTGCTTCACGCATTTTGTTTTAGCCGCTGTGGTGTAGGATCTAGATGTTCAACTGCGGGCCCGAACGTCGTGGATTGAAATCCATATCAGGAAAGAACTGTATTTTGAAAAAAAATGATGATTATGATTTCGATGATGATGCTGATGATGATGGTGATTCTAACTGTTGCTGATGATGATGATAAGGATGATGTGATGAGATGATGATGATTCGATAATCTCATAAGCGATTTTATACACAATAACGATGATAATATTGTTTATTATGGCGAGTAGAAAGAAGTGAGCACGTGCATCGTTCGCCTATCACATCCGATCTCTAGCAGAGCAATTTTGGCCTTGAATGTGTCTTCACTCATCGATCCATACTTTCTTATATCCAGACTAACGCTATCCACTTTGATTCCAAGACCACTACTTGTAGGAGAGAGACCCCTCAACAACCCTGCTTCCATTACCCTAAAGCCTACATGCAATCTATATGTCACTGACTCCACTGAACACGATCAGTGGCTCCCAGGTCGACCTAGCCTAACATGTGGCCACGTAAAGTCCTGGCGGCGTCAGTGGCTAAGGCATTGTGAGTCCGACTCGTAATTCCAACGTATCGCGATCGAAACCCACTGCTGGCTGAGTGGACTTTTATCATGGTACGGGGGGTTGCAGGTCGACCCAGCCTAAAATTGGTAGCAGGATGTATGTCCTGGGGAGGTAAAGACGGCCGGCGTAATGCTGACCACATTACTTACCTAGTGCCGATGGGTCTGTAAAAATGTGGGCATTCTTCCTATTTGCCCGATGCGCCTAAAGGCGTGAAAGGGGATCTTTGCTTTTTTTACTTTACGTAAAGTCTAGGGAAATAAAGGCGACCGGCGTGATGCTGACCACATCACCCACTGATTTATCTATAAAATATCGGTCTAGAACTAGATTCCAATACGCCAAAGGGCGCGGAATAGGGTCTTTTACTTTTACTTACATGTATGTCTTAGTAGTCATTAGGGCCAGCCATATGATGCAAAGACCTATGAGATAGTACAACGTAAGGTATACTGCATGCAGTATGATGATGATGGTATGCAAGACTGGCTTAGGGCTACTTACAACATCACACAGAAAAGTTTTGCTGCAACATCAAATCAATTCTGAGCCGTCGTGGCAGAGCGGCTAGACGCTTGCCTGAGGATCCGAGGGTCGTGGGTGCCTTAAATGGGCACTTGGGAAAGTCTTGAGAAATAAAGGCGACTGGCATATTCCATGGCGTGTGTGCGTGGCATCCTGATTGCTGTGGTGAGCCTCTTGGCTGGTTGCCTCCGACTTCAGCACCTTGTTTTGCTAGGGTAGACTGTGATCATACTCGAGGAGAGTAGGCTCATCCATTCGTCTTTCGCCTTTACCTCGTTTGTTGTCCCATCCAGTTTCCCGCTGGGGGTTGAGACCCCAACCTTCCACTGGATTGCTGGGAAGAACAGGGTCCACCACGTGAAAAATGCACACTAACAGTACAACTCCAGACAAATGTGAAAGGGATATTAGACAAGAAAGAGCAAGATAGTGTACAACGCAGAATGACCACCCTCAGTTATATTGATGAAGAATACCCACAAGAACAATGGGTCAGAGTCTATACAGATGGGTCCGCAGAAAGTGCAGTTAGAAATGGTGGTGCTGGAGTGTACATCGAATTCCCAGATGGTACTAGGGATAAGTCCAGCGTACCAATCGGGAGGTACTGCCATAACTATGAAGCAGAAACTCAAGCTATCAAGATAGCAACAGAGAAACTGCTAAATACCAATCTTGGGTCACAGTATGTGGTAATGCTGACAGATGCTAAATCAGTACTTGAAGCACTCCAGTCTAGAAAACTACCAGAATTGCAAACACTCTGACACAACCCAGCCTTCAGCGAAGAGTCGTAATGTAGTGGATACCGTCTCATTGTGGAGGGCCTGGAAATTAGAAAGCTGATCAACTGGCAGGGGAAGGTGCGACAAAAGAGCAGCCGGATGTACCAGTCACATACCACCAAAAGAAAAAAATCATTAAATCGATCAGGAAACCACCAGCCCCAGCACAAGACGACTATTTTATTATGGACAGATCAGAACAAGTCATTATCTTCCGCCTCAGAACAGGGCACATCCGAATACGTAACCACATGTACACAAAATTCAAGATAGGTGTATCAGCCATGTGCACCTATGGAAATGTGCCCCAGACAGAAGAGCATGTACTCCAGGACTGCACCGAATTTGACACATTAAGGCAAACCTTTTGGCCAGAAAGAACAACAGTGAGTGGAACGTAAACTCTGTGGACCACTGAATGAACTAACAACGACAGTGAAATTTATACCAGAGACAAAACTGCTGATATAGACAACTTATTTCAGGCTAACGAAAGAAGAAGAAGAAGAAGAAGGCGACTGGCGTGATGTTGACCACATCACCCAACGAGTGATGATTGGTCTATAGAATATAGAACTAGCCCTATGTGCCCCATGCCACACTGGAGTGTAAAGCTACCATTACCTTACTATGTTCTAACATTTCTCGAAAGTTTAACAAGGTCTGAATGTTTTTTTTTTTTTTTTTTTTCATTATCAAACCAATCACGAGAAAATCGACAAGGTGCTCCACTTGAAATCCTGAACTCCACTGGGAGTAGTAAAATAGTCACTCTGATAGAGTGATAGAAGAAAATGTTAACTGAACTAAAATTATACACGAAAACATCTTACATTTTGATGAAATCCTCACTAAAAAAAAAAAAAAAAAGCACCCAGAACTGGAAAAATTAAATGTAAAAAGTCATTTTTAGTTAAATTAAAGTAATAAAGACACTACAAAATAATTGCAGTTTTAATTATGATTTTATGATTATGTTCTAATTCTCGGCCATTTTGAGCATTTAGGTTTCCTGCAGCAGTTATCAACTGTCTCGATTCAACTCTGAGGTTAGCATGTTTTGAGTTGGTGACCAAGTGTTTATAGGTCTGTGTGTAAATTATCTATGTCTTCTTGGTCTGCCTTGTAGTCTACTCATATTCAACTCTGGATACCACAACATCCAGATTAAGAATAGAGGTGGAGGCGGTCACTGCAGCTTTCCGCTGGTTAAAGAGCACGACAAACAGAAACACATCGAGATTGTAACTGACACAGAAAGCATGCCGAGGAAGGCCAGTACAGGCATGCTTCGTGCAGAGTGGGATGCTTCACTGAGGAACATACAGGTTAGGAGTATTGCCTGGATTCCCCCCCCCCCCCCCCGGGAAACGCCAGTGTGTTGGGAACTGAACAGGCGGACAGACGGGCTGGCTCTGCACAACTTGGTGGAATACTGACACATGGTAAGGCAGACGTGGCTAGTGCCTTGTGGGAGAGCGTATACAGTTGGGAGGAGCAGATGCATTACAACTATCTTGTGAGATTGATGCAGCGGGGAGTGACGAGGGGTTCTGGCAGATGCTCGCGGCTCAGAGGAAAGGCAAGACAGACGTTTAATCAGAATGCTACTGGCACCATTATTATCTGAACTCTGCACTGTCTTCTGGAGATAGGCACGGAGCGCTTATTGGAATGCCCCAAGTGCTGTGATGTCGGTTCTTGAATCAACTCAATTCAACTCAACCCTTTTTGTGATATAATATATATATATATATATATATATATATATATATATATATATATATATATATATATATATATATATATCCACTGATGTCAGTATCGTAGTTGAAACATTCAGTAAACGGTGTGAAAATATTTACAGGTGATCGATGTGAGTTCAAAACAAATGAATGTGAGAGCAATCCCTGTCAACATGGAGGTTTATGTATAGATTTACACCTGGGGTACAAATGTTTGTGCACAGAGGCAACCACAGGTAATTATCATTGTTGTTGTTGTTATCGATCCAGCGGCGCATGAGCTGTCGCCCTCTGGCACAATGCCACGTAGTGGAATTAGCATGTTTTCACAAGCTGTTTTTTTCCTCCGTACAATGTGTTACCCTTGTCTGGTCTAGGAGGGAGGTAATCCACAGACACCCCAGCATCACAATGCCGTAAGTATCTTTAAAAAGGTTCATTGATTGATTCATTTCATCAGTCTGAATTATGGTTGGAGTCCAGGGGCGTCACCACAAATAAACCGTTTGGAGAGCTCGTTTCTCTTATAATTTTCTATGTAGGGTGGCCATAACGTCCCGTTTTCGGCGGGACAGTAACAATTCTTATAGAGGCCCAGACTGTCGCGTCAGTCAATTGTCCTAATTTTGACAATTGACGTTTAGTATCCACTCAACGGTCTGGACCTACCTAAACCAGTGGTCGGCAAACTTTTTTGTCAAACGAGCCAAAAATCAGCAGCAGCAGGATAAGAATTTTTCTGAGAGCCAAATTTCTTTTCAAGAACATGCCAAGAACCATGTTTTCGGAGTCAAAACCGATTTCTGGCCGACTGGCCGAGCCGCAATCAGGTCGCTAAAGAGCCGCATGTAGCTGGCAAGCCGCGGTTTGTCGACCACTGACCTAAACACGATACTGTCTGGGGGAAAACGGGACTGTATGGTCACCATATATCTAGGGGCTAAAACCATGTTCTAAATGCTAACAAGAGGTAAAACGTCTGCGAAAACCAGGAGATGACTGTGAATCTGCAACGATGTCCAGACTGCAGATATATCTCGTTGAATGCGGTGTGGCCAGACAATAGCACTATGCAGGGAGCTAAAAAAAATTATAATAATAATAATAAAGAAAAAACACACAGAACAGGTGCCGTCAGCCGCTACACGCTGGAGGATTTACCGAGGATGTGATCCAAGCACTTATGCACTGAATGGTTTGATGTACAATGGGGGTAATCTGCCGACTAACCAACCCAAAAACTAACCAACTATCTAGCTAACTAAATAACTAACTGAAGTGCATAATACTAGTAATATTATTTGCTAATTATTCGTAATATGTGCTGAAGGTCATATTAATGTAATAACATATTTAAATCACGCGAAAGTTGGGGGGGGGGGGGGATACGGTACTTCAAACGAGAACGTCTATACTTTGTTAGAGGGAGGGGGCGAATTTTATGGAGGAAGGGATGGCTCAAGCCGCCTTTAAACAAACAAACAAACAAACAACAAATAAAAAACTTAAAAGTACTGTTTTTCTGTTGTAAATTTGAAAAAAAAGGAGACACAAACAATGGATTGCACAATTTATTACCTGTCATATTTCGCTGCATCTCGCCAGGTACATACTACAGTAAAAAATACATAAACGAAGGAAATAAGTGAATCCTTTATAATTGAAGTACAATTTCAACAACGATCAAACATAACTGCCTGTTTTTACCAGGGCAGCAGCAAAGACAGAACCATCTCTTTCTGTATACAGAGTTCCGGGCACAGGTGAAGAATCGCGGAAGCGTCAAGAAATCTTAGTGTTCTGCCTTTGGTTGACGTATGAAGGATTTGAAATGCGTTGTCTTTAGTTACCACTTGTCCAGATTTTAGAGGATGGCGTGCTATTGCAGAGAGGTGATCTAACAAAAAAATTTTTTTTTGCTCCTAGCTTCCGGTGCCACTGCTAGAGTTGTCTGATCATGATCCTGCAGTGTATAATGTTCTCACTAACCCAGACAACGGCTGTGTGTCAAACTCCCTTCATGACTGTATGATGTAGTCTTGGCATTATCTTTTTTCTTGATCGTCAGGTCTCGCCTGTTATTTTAAATAATGAAACTCTTCATCTACATGTGTATTTTTTTTTTTTTTTTTACTGTTGCCTTATTGTGTCCATTTTTTTGTATTAAAGAGATTATCACAGAAGCATCCTCTAACCTATGCTCGAAAAATAGTGAAATTAAAATAGTACATTTCTTGCTTTATTAGAGTCTATATTTGGCTTTTCAATGAAGCCCTTTTTTATCATCTCCACAGGACCTGACTGTGAGCAGTATGTTGACAAGTGCTACAACAAGCCATGCCTGAATGGCGGAACGTGTATCGGTGACGAGGCTGGATACACGTGTATATGCCCACCGAACACTGACAGTAAGAAACGCATATTATATATAGTCAGTTTGTATTTAAAACACTTTTACCTGTGCGTCTGTTATCCGTCTTATAACTCTTATCTTAAAAACAGAAGCTAATTAGCGTTCGGTAGCTATAAGCGAAGCGTTCACCTGCCGGCCTGTAGGTCTAGAGTTTAAGTCTGGAAACATATTTTTTTTTCAGAATGGACTTTTTGCTTTCAGGTCCACACAGCTTTAAGTTGATACCGGGTAATGTTCTGAGATGTAAAAGCGTCAATTGTTTTCATGCTAAAAGCTGAATCAAACTGTCCTAATCTTAGTCTTGGTCGAGGTTTCAAATTCATTGCAATCGGGTTACCCCATAGTTGCTCTGCTCCTGTGCCAGTGAAAATCAAATAAAATGCCCCTTACATTCCCATTTTAAAAAAAAAAAGAAAAAAAAAAAAAAAACTGGTGAATAAACATTTAGTTCCAGCACAATCCAGAAATATGTGTACGCAGTAAATGCATTTGACAGTTGCTAGAGGCGGCAACGCCAACAGTCGCCATCAGAAATGCAGTATGTACTCTCGTAGTTGATATAAGTAGTCGGGCATGAAAAGTTGGCTATACACAACGCATAATTAAAACTTAAGGCATTTTACCAGCCCACACAAAAGCTGGCCATATTGAATAGCACGACTCAACCGCCGCGCAAAAGAAAGGCATTTCACATGAAAAACACTGCTCACAGGGCAGCACCAAACTAAGTAGCTCAGGCAGCGTAGCCATAGACTACCGTCCACACGTGGAAACTTCATTAGCAAAAATAATTTCGAAGCCTAACATTCTGCCATGCCTAGTCCTCCATTTTAGACCTGAAGTCCTGAATCACACTGTGCTAATATAAGTAGTATCACATAGAGACCTATTTAAAAGACATATAGACGTGAGCAATAAATATTTATAGACATGTTGCTTACATCGAGTTGGTGTCACATTTTCTGTAGATCAGTAAGTACTCGGGGTTCATCTTGTTACTGCCTTACTGCCCGCCTTTAATCTTGTAATTTTATCTATTACCATCGTATAGCAGGTCCTTTGCAGAACGTCATTCTCATCACTGTCTGCCTGAAAGAAACTCGGTCTCTTGCCAGCTCTCTCGCCTCATGCCTTTTCACATTCGAGGAGTCATTTATATCCTGTGCCCATCTTCGTGTTGGTCGGCCCCTGCCCTCCTTCCTGGTACCATGTCTTCTGCAACTATTTTTCCAGTTCGCCATCGCGTTTGAAATCACCAAAATAATTCCTAGAAAAGATGCTGTTTATTAGCTAATCTTCCTTGATGTTCCGATCTTTTAAAATGTCAGTATTGCTTGTCTTCTTTGCTAAAAGTTTTCTGAAAATTCTTCTATAGCATTTCAGCTTATTTCTTTTCTAAGGATTGTGCGATTCAGGCACAGGAATTATTATATTTACCACAGGCACGAACTTAGAATACTAATGTCACCAGTGTACATATATATAGCTGTGTAATATAATCGATAATTATAGTTTTAAAACACACAGCACAATGGATTGATTAACAATCTGTGTGCTGAGGTACACTTATTTTTGTAGAGAGGCAATATCGTCATCTGGAGGCAACAGGTTCCATTCACGGTATGGTTACTATAACTTTTATGCTGTAACTGTGTGCTGTTTTGAGTATTTTCCTGTGTCTATGTATTTTCTCTGATTATATTAGTGCTAATCAATACTTGTATTTTGGTTTGAACCATAATTGAAACAACGTTGAATTTAATATATTGGCACCGTTCCCGGCAGGTCCGAACTGTGAGATCTTCATCACCACTGACCCTTGCTCCAGTAATCCATGTCACAATGAGGCCACATGTCTGCCAGCAATAGACCTGGTCCACTTTACCTGCCAGTGTGCCAGAGACTACACGGGCATCCTTTGCGATGTCTTCGTAGACGTCTGCGACACTCTCGTCTGTCAAAATGGAGGTATGATTGTTTCCTTTAAAGTTACACGAGTCTTCAAAAATAAAAAAAAATAAAAATCTTAAAAAAAAAAAAGATTGCATAAGGCAGGGAAAAGAAAAGAAAGAAAATTGAACCCAAAAATACATAAAACTATATTCAAATAATGTTTACTCGATGAAATTTCAAATAATGCGGACACAAATAATACATTGCACAATTTATTGCCTGGTATATTTCGCTGTATCTTGTCATATGCGCGCACACACACACACACACACACACACACACACACACACACACACACACACACACACACACACACACACACACAAAGCACAAAAGGAATCAGTCAATATCACGTGACTGGTTTTGAATTTCCAGCGGATAGATGTACAGCAACTCGACAATATGGTTTATGCAAGAATAGGATTCATTTTGTGCTTCAGTGTATGTTAATTTTAATCCGTAATAACGCACCTGACAAGATACAGCGAAATATGCTAGGTGGTAAATTGTGCAATGTATTGCTTGTGTCCGAACTATTTAAATAAAAGTATATGTCAGTTTGACAAAGCAATCTGCAGTATACTATTAATGGTATATCTGGGTTTTTTTTTTTCTAATTCAAAGACATTTATATCTTTAGTGCAGTCACCTCATTTCGAATATTACATGAGAGAATTTGGTAGCAATTGTAGCACAGTAGCGAGATGCTTCCCTGCAAAACTAAGGATTTGGGTTTGAATCCTAAACCTGTTGTATTTCAATGATTGACCTTATCTCCCAAGCTGACACAGCCTAAAACAGTAGGGTTCTGAGCTGAGAAGTAAAGGCTGCCGGTGTGATGTTGACCACATTTCAAAACAAATGCCGCTTTGACTACACGCAAAAATGGGCATTTTCGGGAAAATGGGACTTAATACATACAGTTAAAAAAATGTATTTTATAATGATAAAGAATTACAGAGCTGTTAGTCGAATCCATTAGAAGTTTAGAACTAAAAAAGCCTTTTCAGATCTTCATCTGTTTCTTCTTTTCTCTACTCCTGGAATGCCATCAGCCTTTAAGGATGATGTAGTAATTTAGACATACAGCTTAGTTGCTCAACAATTGAGAGCTCATGTTTTTACGGCTTGGGTGGATGAGAGAACAGCGAAAGAACGCTGCTCTAGTAATTGGAAACCGGACCTTCACCAGAGCTTGATTTTCAGTGACTCATCATGTACGCTCCAGATCTCAAAGACATATTTAGGAAATTGTTCATAATTCAGTTGAATTGCTACTGAATATGCCACAGTGGAAGGTTTTGTCGTTGGACTAAAACTGAACAAAAATAGGACAGATTTCGAATACTAGGGCTCTTTAGTGAACAACAGTGGGGCCTCCTCGAAAGAAGTCCAAGAAAACTTGCATCAGCAATGCAGAGATTAAACAGCATGAAACACATATAAATTAGTTCAAGTAAACATCTTGTGATCAGGCATTTTCACTGTGGCAACTTACGGCTGTGAGTCCTGAACTCTCACTCAATCGCTGAAGAAAAAGATTGGAGCTTGTGAATTAAAAGGCTACAGAAAAAATTCTCAGAATACCATGGATCAAGAAGAGGAAAAACATCGACATTCTACAAGAGTTAAACATCAAGGAGAACTGGCTGATAAACAGCATCCTTTCCCGGAAGCTGAAGTATTTTGGCCACATCAAACGTCATGGTAGCTTGGAGAAGATGGTGATGGAAGGTGCAGTTTGTGGAAAGGGGTCGACCTATGCTAAGATGGATACAGGACATTGAAAATGCATTGGTATTGAAAGCACATTAGGCTAGAGAGCTGGCGAGGGAAAGGGATACTTTCAGGCGTGCCGTGAGGAGAGCGACGTTCTGTAAACGACTTGCTGACTGATGATGAGCTGAAATGATCAACATTTCTTCTCAACATTAACTGTTTTATCATATGGAAAGTCAAATTAAATAATAAACTTGACATGTTTTTAATTGGCACTTGAAGAAACAAAGAAGAACACTCTTCAGTTTTAGCAAGGCCCTTAGAGAAGTATTGAAAAGCAGCACTGAAATTATCATGCATGTTATAATTGGCCACTAAGCAAATCTGCAAAATAGTGGGTACTTTATAAGAAAGAGAACTGTCTGTAAAATCAGGTCACTCATGAGCAAAGGGCTTTGTGCTAATCGGATGGAGATACGTGCTTTGTCATAAGACGGCAGGCATGAAAGGAAAACAATTAGTAGTGAAAGAAAGGTTAAAGTCCATGCCGTGTGGCGTTGGTAGACATGCCTATCCACAACCTTTTGTCTTCAACTCTGACACAGATGATCCTCCATGCCATGATGTCAAAAACTGTCCAGCATCTTTTCTCTCGGTCTCCCTCTGTCCCTTCCAACTTTCCTACTGGCACGATGTATCCAGTTTTCTCCTTCTCATTACATGACCAAAGAATGTCTCTTTCTAATGTGGACAATCAGTTCTCTTCGTGAATTAGTTTCTTTCAAGACACCTTCATTACTTTAATTACTTCTTCTTTAAGGTGAAAAAGAAAGAAAGGTTAGGAAAAGCAGAAACACTAAATAATACTGCAAACACGTTTTCTTGTATTACCAATCAGGCACTTGTCATTCCGACACTCATGGCTGTGAGTGTGAAGAAGGGTACAGGGGAACTTTTTGTGAAGAGGACATAAACGAATGTCAGGAGGATCTGTGTGAGAATGGTGGCACCTGCATTGACAAGATCAATGATTTTGAATGTCTGTGTCCTCTGGGATTCACAGGTAATGTTATTATTCACTTCAGTGTTGATATCTGTGTCCTCTGGGATTCACAGGTAATGTTATTATTCACTTCAGTGTTGATATCTGTGTCCTCTGGGATTCACAGGTAATGTTATTATTCACTTCAGTGTTGATATCTGTGTCCTCTGGGATTCACAGGTAATGTTATTATTCACTTCAGTGTTGATATTTACTTTCTTTTTCAGTGCCATGGTGTCTTTGTGTTTAAAACCAACCCAAGCTAACAGAGACCAGATCTTGTTTGATGAAGTTAGGGAGCATGAAAAGGAATACTTTACGATGGGAGCTTGCTCAACAGGAGGCTACCGATCTTTAGTAGCCGTTCCCCTTCAACAGTTGTTTTGGCCCGTTTAACCCCTAGACAATCTCGAGGGAAGGGGGGGGGGGCGCCAACCTGTGTCATGACTCCCGAACAACCAACTTCTCCTGCTGGGCTGATGATCTCTGGGTAGTGAGTTTGGACGCCTGTACGCATTGTTGCACACTTGAGAAATCCCTGGACAGTTGGAAATCGAAAATTGTAACCTAACGGCGCTGCCCAGGCTAAATTTGGAGTTAAAAATCTACCCAAAGTATTTCAGAATCCTTGCCGGTGCTACAGAGCCTGGGCTTTGTGCTGAGCTTTTTCGGACTCAGACTTGAGTTAGAAGAAGAACGGAACACTTATGGGTTACTACCTGTATGCCATGATGTTGATCAGTTGTTCAAACCTCAAATCTCAAGCCTCAGTGCCCGCTTACGCTTGTTTCTTCCCAAGCCCTGCTGCTTCAAAACACTGTATGTGGAGTTACAGAGACTAGATTTCTTGCGTCCACCTCGATGGTGAACAGTCTTACTACATACCCCTCATCACTCCTCAGAGTAGCTACCAGATCGCTGTACTTCTCGAACTTCTAAAGGTGTTCACCTGCCATTTGGGACAGATACGACACGCTCAGCTCTATCAGTAAGAGCTGGCGCTCTGCTTGTACTACCTAAATCTGTTCACCTGCTCCCCCAAGTCCTTCTTCTTCTTCTGTCTTGTGTGTGTGTGTGTGTGTGTGTGTGTGTGTGTGTATGCGTGCGTATGTTTACTGTCTGTAAATTCGGGCAAAAATTCTAGTTATTCTTCCACATCTGGAAAGCGGTCTAGCTCCAGACCTGCAGTTTTTCGTGCATATCCGTTTTACAGATCTTGTTTTTTTAATGCAGACTGTTGATTTTGTGCCTCTTAAGCAAATACACTCCGACTTGAAAGATACTTGCCTTACATTAGTTGTGCATGCCTTAAGATTTCTCAAAATATGAAGAAAATATGATTAGAAAGTGTCAATCTTAATCGTACTTACTGAGGCATCATATATAAATGCATACATATATATATATACATATATATATATATATATATATATATATATATATATATATATATATATATATATATATATATATAACATATGTATGTATAAGTGTATATGTATATATATATATATAAACATATGTATATTTAAGTGTATATATATATATATTTAAACATATGTATATTTAAGTGTATATGTATAAATATTTATATAAACATGTCTTTATATATATATATATATATATATATATATATATATATATATATATATATATATATATATATATAAATGTATATGTATATATATTTATATAAACATATGTTTATATAAGTGTGTGTGTATATATGTATAAGCTTATGTATTGTATAAACCATACTAATTAAAGAATATTCTCTGTGTTATTCCTAGACTTGTATTAAAAGGGATAATATTCGTTTTCCCCCCTGGAATACCGATGGGCCAGTCACGGTGAAAACGGGACTATGGTCACCTTAGTCACAGATTTTGCTGTATTCAGTACTCCGTTGATAAAGACTTTGTTCCAAACGTTCGATTGTATTTGTGCGGGACTTTCTCATTCAATCCGTTAGGCTTTTTTAGTCTATTTTGTGTTGTATTTAGCATTTCAGTTTAATTAATTATATTCACCTCTACGATGTTTCTGCTACAACTAGGTCCCCTATGTGATGAAATGGAATCAATCACGCCAGTAGAAGACGCACAGACTGAGATGGTAAACTTTTGTGTTATGAAAATTTGAGGAAAAAAAATCAAAAATATGTTTCTGATGTCCAGCTTCTATAATATCTCTCCCTCTTTCCCCCTTCTCCTATCTACCACACACACACAAACACACACATGCGTGCGCGCGCGCGCGCGAAGAATGATTTTATGTATTTTACTTGATGTACATAAAAGTACATTTTTATATGAACTTATGCTTTATAATGAAATTAAAATGCTGTGGGAAATATGAGTCATTGAAAGGGCCAAATGCAAAACTACCTATTTTTGACCCTTTGTCACATGTTCTTCGTTCGTTCCTTCGTTTATTATCTTTTTCTGTCTGTCTGTCTGTCTGTCTGTCTGTCTGTCTGTCTGTCTGTCTGTCTGTCTGTCTGTCTGTCTGTCTGTCTGTCTGTCTGTCTGTCTGTCTGTCTGTCTGTCTGTCTGTCTGTCTGTCTGTCTGTCTGTCTGTCTGTCTGTCTGCCTGCCTGTCTGTCTGTCTGTCTGTCTGTCTGTCTGTCTGTCTGTCTGTCTGTCTGTCTGTCTCTCATTCTGTCTGTCTGTCTCTCATTCTGTCTGTCTGTCTGTCTGTCTGTCTGTCTGTCTGTCTGTCTGTCTGTCTGTCTGTCTGTCTGTCTGTCTGTCTGTCTGTCTGTCTGTCTGTCTGTCTGTCTGTCTGTCTGTCTGTCTGTCTGTCTGTCTGTCTGTCTGTCTGTCTGTCTCTCATTCTGTCTGTCTGTCTGTCTCTCTCTCTGTCTCTCTCTCTCTCACTCTCTCCCTCACTCGCTCTCTCTCTCCTGCTATAATCTTCTCTTTAATCGTCCATGTAACTATACTTCACATGCTTACTCCCGACCTGCCCTCATATTATTCAGTGTCCATGTAATAACGTAAGGTTTTAACACACGATGACTTGTGTTCGAAGGCTATTCCAAAATCAGCCCTCGATTGGCTGGTGAAAACAAACAGTCCATATTAGCTACACCGTTCGTTGCTTGCATCTTTCAGTAGCTAACTTCACATCAACCCACATTCGTATGTTTGCAGTGGTTCACAAATTGCCAACTCATTAAAAAGTACACCGTTACTGCCTTTCCCGCCAGCAGTGAAATTCATGGAATGAATCGTGTCCTTTAAGCAGAAGGTCAAAATACCGTCTACCATCGTCCATTGTGCAGTGTGTACGGTGACAATGCCATAATTGATAGTGATGTGAGCAAATAAGTGCAGAATATTCATAGATGGGAGTAAAGGTGTGTATGATGAGTGCGGACAAGGGCGACATTAGAGTGTGACGCATGAGCTCATTCTAAAAGTCGACCAAGTCGTTGTGGAAAAGCACCGTTTTTTTTTTTTTTTTCAATTTCGGATCTTTGTACAGAATCGCCACATTTTATTTTACAAGGAAATGTCACGGGGAATCAAGGTGGCCACCGTGAGAATAAACACATAACCTACCGAATGCGGATTTGTAGACAGAAATACTGGGTTTCTATCACATACCCAGTATGTTTCAATTCGTGGAAATGAGCCATATAATTAACCTATCAGCGATGCAAGCTATATTTTTAACTGCTCAGCTGAAGTTTCTTTTTCTTTCAAAGATAAAGATTAGAGAATCGACTTCATTGCACCGGGTTTGATCCCATATGGCTCAGTATCTTTCCACAGAACAGCTAGCAGCCTGTCAAGAGTGTCGCAAAGAGCACGACCTCTGAAGCTCCGGCGACGATAGCAGGGAACCTCTGTAAAAACTGCACTGGTAAACTCAACAGCGCCGCCGTGAAACGAACCCACGACGGTCAGAGCGCAAGGCAAACGGCTTGACCATTTCGCCACTAATACCCCTTCTTCTTTCTTTTTTTTTTTTTTTTCAACATCTGCATTATGTCGCAGTTGAAATGATTTTACGAAGTCGAGCTAGGACGTTCTCGGTTACTTGGCATTATGGGATATAGTCAGTGCTTAAGATGTCAATAAGTCATTCAGTCCATCTTCTTTTAAGTCTCTCTGCATCCTGATGTTTCCATTTCCATATAGGTGTTGTTGTCCATCAAGATGATGATGACGACTCTTTTTCATCAAGTATGAGTACGAAGATGACTGATGAGGCCGATGCGGACCCGAAAAGTTCTTGGACAGTGAGGACGGTGAATGAGCGTTATGCCAGGGAGGGGATCTCTTGCAGTTGCCTTTCTGTCCTTTTCTTGATAAGTCTTGCTGTTCTGTTTGCTTCACATGTAGCCGCGCCCTTGTGTAGAGCTGCACGCCATGCATTTCGGTCTTGAGAGGCAGCCTCCCAATTGGTGTCATTCATCCCAAATGCTTTGAGTGAAGACTTCAAGGTGTCCTTAAAGCGTTTCTTTTGCCCGCTTTGGGAACGTTCCCCATTTTGCATCTAACCATAGAAGAGTTTTTTTTGGGAGGCTGTGATCTGGCATGCGTGCCACATGACCAGCCAAACGAATTTGATACTTAGTTAGTTAGTTAGTTAGTTAGGTGGGTTATCATCATTGCACTCCGGACATGTCCATAGGTGCTCAGATCCTCCCCTCAGTATGAACCCCAACGTCCGATGGCTAATAGTACCAGTTCTATGTTGATTAACAAGTCTTCTGAAGTGTCCGGTGTGCGTCTCGTTTTTTGCTGTGCCGATCTTAATTCCCAAGTCTGCCATTCTGGCGAGTGATGTGGATTCACTGCCACCAAAGTCCTCTATCCTTCCAATTTCTCTGAGGGCATTGATAATATCAGCATGATCCATAGGCCGACCGTCGGTAGTGATAGCGGATCCACCCAACCTGTCAGCTCTTTCATTTCCATCGACGCCATCGTGTCCCGGAACAAAAATAAAGGTGACTCCTCGCACAGTGGACTTCTGAATTGATTCAAGCCATTGTCTTCGCACTGAACCTGCCTGAACCCTACGGATCATACTCATTGAATCACTGAGTATACATATGCGGGTGTATGTTTGTGTTTCAAGCCAGGCAAACGCTTGCGTCACTGCCATCACCTCCATCGTCATGCTGCTGGTTGTCATGGAGAAGGCGCGGTTGGCTTCTTTGACTGTTCTGCCCGCTGAGCGTGCTGTAAATGCCCATGCGCTTCTTCTTTGGCGTATAACGGATCCGTCTGTATAGATTAGTGCATCTGCTTCGTCTGAATTTTCACCGATGAGAGCGTTGACCTCTGCATTAACAGCAACAGGATTCTCTTCTCTACATCGCCTGTTGAGTGTGACAATACAGGAAAATGTACAAATAAACGCCTGAGGCACAGGTATCCATTCTACACCAGGTATGATGTCGGTTAGGCTGCATATTTGCCTAATAACATCTTCTGCCCGACCTAGCCACGATTTTCCCCTCTTCAGTCTGTCACCTTTTCACTAAAATGCAGTGGGTGTTTCTTATCAGCACATATTTTGAGGTATGCCCGAGCCCTCCACATCCTGATCGTTTGGTTCATTGTTGGAAAGTCAAGTAGATACCTCATTGCTCCACAGGATGTGTCTCTTGTACATCCCAAAATAATACGCATGGCTTCATTTTGCACCTTTTCGAGTCGTTCAATCTGGGTAGCACTGACAGTGAGGATGGCCAGAGCGTATTCAATGGGGGAAAGGACCAGACCGTAGAATAGAAGTACTAGTAGTCTTTGCTCGATATTGGAAGCAGCCATAATCCTCATTGCAGATAGACCTTTGCGTGCTTTTGTTATCACATGGTCAACGTGTTCCCTGAATGACAAGCTGCGATCGAAATTCACCCCGAGAAACGTCATAACGTTGGTTCTGATCAATACATTATCACGCATTTTCACTTCTGGTAAGTCCGACTTGACAATGTGATTGTTCAAAGAGAACCATGACACTGATGCTTTCGAAGGATTGACATAGGCATTGGAACCATCACACCAGGCGGCAATTCGATCGAGTTCTTTGTGCATTGTGCTGGCAATCTCCTGTCTATCACGCCCTCATCGATAAATCAAAATGTCATCAGCAAATGACAAAGTCCTTCCCTTTCCATTCAACTGCTGCTCAGTGATCATCACCGTATAAACGTTGAATAAGACTGGTGATAGCGGTGATCCCTGTGGCAAGCCTGGACATATCGTTTGCGGTTCTGAGGACCAGCTACCACATCTTAGTACAATCTTTCTCTGGAACAGGACCGCAGCAATCCAGTGGATCAGAATAGGATTGACTTCTAGTTTAATGTATTGATCAGAACCAACGTTATGACGTTCTCGGGGTGAGGTTCGATCGCAGCTTGTCATTCAGAGAACACGTTGACCATGTGATAACAAAAGCACGCAAAGGTCTATCTGCAATGAGGATTATGGCTGCTTCCAATATCGAGGATGCTGGGCATGGCTGCTTTCTCAAAGACTACGGATTTCCATATAGAATGATCTCGCTGCCAGCAGGGTTGGCCTGATTCTTTTTGGTCGAACCATTTCAGTTTTTGTTTCTGGATGACGGGTACTGTTCCAGTAGATACTCTAATCCGTTCATTTCTGAACGATGTCTTCTTATTTTGTTGGCAGCATTTCTCAAATATTTTTTTTCACAAGTGGCTAGTTTAATTATTCAGTTTTTGTAGAGTTGTCTTCTTAAACCCCATGCCGTGGGGAAGGGGAGGGGGTGGGTGGGTGGTGGAGAAAGCATATATGCCTACAGCCTCCTTTCATCCTCGCACTGCCACTCAAATCTGATACAGACTTGCTTCCATGTAATAATTTTAAATTGTGTAATAGTTTCTCTCTTTTCACCCACCTCCTGCAGACAAATTTATTGTAATAATATTTTACGTTTTAATTTATTTAATTATTCTTTTTACAGACAAGCCCAAGCTTACATACAGAAATGGGGGAGAGTTCATCTGGAGATTTCATAAGTGAGGAAAACGTTCTACCTACCACACTTCTTGACATCTCGCAATCTTCTCTAGATGTGGCAGTGGTAGAAGAACGATGGCAAGAAAATACCTTATCTGGTGA